GAAGTGACAAGAAGACGAGGAAGAAGACGTAAGAAGATGCTGGATGACCTTGGGGACAGAAGAGGATACTGTCATTTGAAGGAGAAAGCTCTAGATCGCATTAAGTGGAGGAATTGTTTTGAAAGAGACTGTGGACCTGTCGTCTTGACAGATTACTGATGATGATGATGATGTTGAACAATATCTGACATTGCAGTTGTGTGGTTAACTGTGACACTTGTCTGAAACAGGAATGGTGTCTCTGATTAAGTTAGTGGCAAGACAGAAGTGTTAAATATTTTGAGTGTTTCCTTGCTCATCAAAAATAGCACTGCAGCCAACCTGAGATGAAGATGACAGTATCACCTCATTACCTCTTTTTCTTTTATTGCTAGTGTAGTGAGACTAAGTCCCTTGTACTGCGGCCACTTCTGGCCTATTGTACCAGCCACAGATGATAGGTGAGAGTGATTGTGGAGCATTGGTGGAATGAAGATTGGCAGGGGAACCAAAGTACTCGGAGAAAACCTGCCCCAGCGCCACTTTGTCTACCACAAATCCCACTTGATGAGACCTGGGATCGAACCCAGGCCGCTGCAATGGGAAGCCAGCAACTAACTGCTTGAGCTATGGTGCAGCCTTCATTACCTCTTAAGTCTAGTAGAAAAGTTTCCCTCCATGCCCTGTATATGTCACCAGGGTATGGTGATTGGTCAGAAGTAAACTTACCCCTTACATTACTGTGAAATGTTTAGTTTGGCATTTTACTAACAGTGTGTCTCATTCATGATGTAATTTGCCACATTATATTAAGCTACCTTTCTCTGAAATAACTTTGATACCATTAGACTTTTAGCTGGTGCATGTATTGCTGGCAGGCAAGTCCTTAAAGTGACACTTTTGACCACAAAACCTTGTTTCAAAAAATTATCTTAAAACAGAACCATGTAAAATGAACTTACACAATTAGAATAAGACCTCACTATGTTGGACTAACAGGAATAAGGGGTAGTCTCAATCTGTGAAATTCTTAATTATATAGAGCATAATTATATTTACATATCTTCGGTCATGAACAGAAGCAAATTTATTCATAATCCAGCAGCATATGTTAACTTAGATGATATTAAGACACAAGTACTGTATGATGAAGAGAGAGTGTTTTATGAAAATGTTTATATTCATACAAAATTGAATACAGAGAATTCAAATGAAACAGAACACGAAAGAATATGATTTTTTAAAACTTTATTTAATATGTCATATGTCATAACATTATTAACTGTTAATCACACGTATATGGTCCCTCTTTAACTGTGTCATCTTTTTGAAAAATTTAACAATTTTCTGATGAGTAAAGGTCCTACTGTATTACCATTCCACAACAGCATTCTTCATTTCTCTTAGAGTCACAAAATATTTTTTTTTTAATTTCTTGTTGAAATTACCAAATTTAAGCACCTCCTGGCCTGAATTATATATTTATCAAATTTTAATAATTCTAGTAAAAACTGGATTATTTGCAATGAATCAGTGTATCTGTATTCAGGGGCTTGGTCAAAAGAAATGGAAACACTATGAAATTGAGGAATAAAATTTGTTCCTGTTGGCTACACTAAAAAAAGAAAAACAGTCCTCAGTCCCTTCAGGTAAGTATCACGAGAGTTCCTTAAAATCTGACTATGACTGCATTCATCCACATCCTTTCCGACAACTCATTATTCATTATCATCCAGTCATTCGATGCTACACAGTCTAAGTTACTGCCAGCATCATTAAATAAACTACAAATAAAATAACAATACAACAGTTATAATCACTGTATCTCTTTTTTAAAAATTAACAGCAGCATTTTTAACTTAACTTCTTTTATTTGCTTTATATAATGTATTTTATCACATCTTTCAATAAACATATTTATGATAGCACAATCATTCATATGCACTACAGTGTTTCACTATTACCCCAGGTATGTATCTGTGTATATTCCAAAACATAATTCAAATGACCAATAATATAGTTGCAGGCATTTCTGATTCATGAAATTCTGCATTCTTGAAAATGGGTGGACCTTCTTTTCTGCAGTGACTGCAGTCACAGAAGTAATCCCTCTTTGTCATCAAACATTCCTACAACTCATCAATTCCCAGTTCTCTGCAAATGTGTCGTGAACACTGCTGGTAAATTTATTCTTGCTGACTTCCCTCACCGTCACACTCAATTGCAGCACCTGCTTTGTACACTACTGTGGAGAGAGTTTCTAAAAATCTATCATGAAAATTAAGGATGGTTTGATAGCGATCATGATTTTCATCTATACCTTCTTTCATGACAAAATAATTTACTAAGTTCCACAGAATTGCACGTAGCTCGGCAAGTCGCTGAACCTGGCTGAAAAGGAATCAGAATCCGGTATTATTACCTCAAATACAAATTGGAAGAAATGTTTTGCCAAAGAACCCTTGGATACTGACATGTTAGAAGATTTGGCAACCTCAAAGAAAGACTTTCAGATATTGTAAAAAACTGACTGGAAGTTCAGTAGTCATAAATTCAGTTTATAAAATGAACAGAAGAGAATTGAGCTATAACACATTTATCCCTCAGTTTTACTTACTATACGTCATATCAAGAAATTGTCCAAATAAAAGTTCTGGATGATGATAAGTTATATATTTTACAACATGCGCTGATTTTGTGTGATGAACCATTTTTGAGAAAACATAAATTTGAGTTTAAAGTAAAGGCATTGTCATACTGGACCAATACAGACCAAAATGAGATTCATCCATTATAGCAAGTGTCACATAACTTCGAACAAGGCCAAGAGTAACCTTGAATGTGCAGAAGAAAAATTTCAGACAAGGGGGTGGAGGGTGTGAGAAGTGACAGGCAGCCAGTGGAAGAACGAGTGTTAAGAAACTCCTCCCACCACAAGCTATGCGCGGGATTTGACTAGGAATGCGGGGCCTTGTTCGAAGTTATGTGACACTGTATATAACATTCAGTATGTATAAATCCAATATGAAATTCAATTGTCAGAGGTGTAACAGAAACATCAAGAGAGAGAGACAGACAACCTCCCCATAACATGCTCACTTTGTGAAAAGAAAATATAAAAATCAGTAATCTATATAAATAAAAATGTAAATGTTCGTTTGAGTCTTACCTAAGATCTCCGAAACTTCTTCACCGATCGCTTCGAAATTTTGATACAACATTGCATTCGAACACCCGCGTGTTTTTGTGTGCCTATTATGTAGATGTCACACCCGTGACAGGTAAAAAACCTGCCACATGTTCCGAATCCAGCAGTCGTTTCAATTGTAACGCTAGAACAGTTAGCGTATACTTCCATGGGAACGCAATAACAGTTTGCCGCTGATAGCATTTCCTAAGCAACAGATGAAACTAACTCTTCAATAAGGTATTCCCTATCCTGTCCGAGTGCTGGCTATATGTATAAGAGAGTTTAGCTCTGGCGACTGTTCAATATCACTAGGTCACAAGTATCACAAGAGATTCCGAGTGAAATCACAGCATCCGCCGAGGTATACATAGCCAACCTTGGATAAGAAGCAGTCAGTCTCGGGGCAGATGCCAAGGGATACGGAAGAGAGCCTGGAGGTAAGCGCCGAAGGAGTTAGTCTTGGGATAGCCAACGCCGAATATAAACAGTTTCGATTTATTTTCATTTTGATTTAATTTTTCGTGTGACATTGCCTTGGAATTGGGCTGTGTCGTTTTCATCTATCTATCTATCTTCTATATAAATAAAAATGTAAATGTTCGTTTTCTCTTATTGAAGATCCATGGAAACGCAATAACAGCGGGTCGTTGCTAACAACAGATCATGCCCTCTATTGCATCCAAAACCAGGTTATAATAGTCCAGCTCCGAAGAGTTTTAAATAAAAATGTAAATGTTCATTTTCTCTTATCGAAGATCTCCGAAGTTCTTCACCAATCGCTTCGAAATCCAGCAGTCATTTCAATAGTAACGCTAGAACAGTTAGCGTGTACTTCCATGGAAACGCAATAACAGCGGGTCGTTGCTAACAACAGATCATGCCCTCTATTGCATCCAAAACCAGGTTATAATAGTCCAGCTCCGAAGAGTTTTAAATAAAAATGTAAATGTTCATTTTCTCTTATCGAAGATCTCCGAAGTTCTTCACCAATCGCTTCGAAATCCAGCAGTCATTTCAATAGTAACGCTAGAACAGTTAGCGTGTACTTCCATGGAAACGCAATAACAGTGGCCTGTCGCTAGCATTTTTTTCTTCATCAGTGCAATCGATCTGCTTTAGTTCATTCAAATAATGCCTCGCAGAAGATCAAACTTGGGTCGTCATACTCGCGGAGAGGAAGCAATGCGTCAAGTAATTGTAAATCAAACTGCGGAAGAACGGGCAGACACAGCTAATAGGTAATAAATATGTATTAACCACTTTCAGCCACAGGAGGAAATTACTTATGCAACAAAAGGTTATGTCTCATCATGGCCCTCAGGGCCAGAAAGTACAAAATTTAATCACTCTGTAGGGTACCACTTCATCAGGTAAGATTCACGGCAATAAACAATTACATTAAAATTACCTTTTGTCACACAGCATCACGACATTCCTCTTCCGATTAACCTTCAGCAGCATGTGGTTATCCCACTTATCTTTAGTTGATGGAGGGGGAACATACTAAAATATAAGAACAGAACATAAATTTCATTGCTGGTCCCTGTGCTTTTGCACTACACTCTAAAGACATACACGTATGGGGTACAGGAGTTAAATCTCCCTACATTCTTAACACAAACACTACATGGAAGTGAGTGTTCAATGCTCTGGGTGAATCACCCCCAAGAAGAGACCCGGGTACATACTGGAATGGAGAAAAGAAATGCTTCACCTAATTGGTCATCTCTCTCAAAATCATCATTAATTGCACTTTAAAGATATGAGCTCTTGCAGCCACAATGGAACAATCTGAACCTTGAATAATGTCTGGCCAAAGGCAATGGAACAACTATTTTCTGATCACAATAAAAAATCACATCTTTGTACTGTAGAAACAAATGCAAATACACTCAACTCTCAATTACCCGGGGGGCAGATAAACCGGTTTGCGGCTTAACTGGGGCTTTCTTGAGGCTTATGTTGTTTAATATTCATTCACTTTTGTTTCACATGGTGAGTTGTAACACTATTTTCACACTAGTGTGAACCGAGTTCTGCATTTTTTGGTCCCGTTATGCTAACACAATGTTCTAGGGTAGGGGTGAACGAATGCAAGGATTTGTGGAAAGTTTCAAGGACAGATACACCGCCCCAGTTAGTCTCTTTGTATCGATCTTCAAGTGCGTTGGCAAAATGTCAGGGTGTAAAAGGANGGAAGCGTGTTGTGTTAAGTATCAACAGAAACTTGAAATTATCAATCACTTGGGGAAAAAGAGGTGTGGTTAAACAATTAGCAATGTAATACGGTTTTGGAGAACAAACTGTTCGTGATTTGAAAAAACAAAAGAATCAATTAATTTCCTTTGCTTCGTCTTCTAATTCAAGTGGAATGAAGAAGAGTAAAACCATGAAAAAATCAACATATGATCATCTCGACAAAGCAATGCTGATCTGGTTTAATCAACTAAGGGCACAGGGAACAACAATAACAGGAGCAGTTTGTGCTAAACAAGGGAAATTTTTTTCCGAAGCACTTGAACTACAAGGAAGTTTTGACGCTTCTTCCGATTGGCTAACATGTTTCAAGCAGCATCATGGAATACGAGAAATTGTCAGGGGACTTGTCATCATCAGTTCAATTTTGCACCAATTTTGATAGTTTCGTGAAAAGTGAAAATCTGCTGCCAGAACAAATCTATAATGCCGATGAAACGGGTCTTTATTGAAAATGCTTGCCAACCAGAACTTTGGCATTTCAAAATGAAAGACAGGCTCCAGGTCACAAATCCAGTAAGGAGAGATTGACAGCCTTGTGCTGTTCTAATGCATCAGGAACACACAAATTAACACCAGTAGCTATCAGCAAAGCGAAAAGACCACGCTCTTTTAAAGGAACAGTAGCTTCAAGTCTGCCTATCCATTATTTTAACCAGAAAGTAGCTTGGATGAATAGAGCGATATTTAAAGAATGGTTTGATTTTAAATTTGTGCCTCAAGTTTGTGACCATCTAAAATCCTAAGGCCTACCTGAGAAAGCTGTGCTCCTCATTGACAATGCGCCCTCACATCCTAACGAAAGTCTCCTGAGGTCAGATGATGGAAATATTTTTGTGAAATATTTTCCCGCTAATGTTACCGCACTTATCCAACCAATGGATCAAGGAGTTATCTCAAGTATGAAGAGAATCTACAGATCAAATTTGCTACAAAAGTACATCGATGAAGGCAATGATCTGACGTGTTTCTGGAAGTCTTTTTCAATGTTAGATGCCATATACGAGATTTCAACAGTGTGAGATACAGTAAAGTCATCTGTATTGAAAAATTCATGGAAGAAACTGATGCCTTTCATCACTAATGAACGATGACGAAATCCACGGATTCACTGGATTCAGGGAAAATGAGATAGCCATGGAAGTGACAAAATTGGCTAGCCANTAAAAGGAAGCGTGTTGTGTTAAGTATTCAACAGAAACTCGTGTGAGCCGGGCTTCGAAATGTTAAGCAGTGACGAAACCGTAAGTTAAGTGGGGGTGCAGCCAGAAGAGCGGGAAGAAAGTGAGAATGAGGAAGAGGTGGACAGTGCTGCTAGTAAGAAAATATCACATGGTGCTGCTCTTAATCATTTGGAATCCTTACTAGACTATCTTGAGAGTGAAGAGAACAGTTTATTAAGTGACAAGCTAATATTACATAGGCTTCGTATGGATATCTGTAAAAAGGAAAATGCCGCAAAAAAGAAAACGTAATATTAGATTTTTGTTAAGTGTTAAAGTGTGAATATTCGTAAAAAGTGTTGGATGTTGTTGAACACTGTGACTGAAATAACTATTTCATACTTCAGTGTAATGTAAAAAAAATATTAAATAGGCCATGAGATGACATAAAAATGAGGTTGAATAAATTTAAAGACAGGTAGGCCTATAGTATTATGAAGGTACAGTATTACAGTACTACTTTTAATAAAATTTGTCTTAACCAGTTTTTGATTAATCGTGATTTCCATCCCCACCATTATCCCGGATAATTGAGAGTTGAGTGTACCATCAACTTCAGCCACATTTTGGATATATTTTGCACCATAAGGATTTGAATTTTTTCAAGAAACAATACCAAGCTCTATACAAGCATAATGCATGCATACCATGATTCTTACTTCACTGGATGTTATACCGTATGGTGTTTCATGTTTCAAGAACTACTGATGTGCACTACTTTCACTATTACTTTGAAGCTAATCAAAGTAAACATTCTAATTGGAATCCTAAACCAGAAGAGGTATGATTTCTGTTTCCATGAGAGTGCTGTAAAATCCCAGTTTAGCAGTGATGACACTAATCCCTGAACCTCAATCTAACAGTCACATCTGATCTATGAACTGACACCTGACCACAACAGGTTCTGTCACTCCAGTGGTCCAGCTACTTGCCTTATGCACAGTGAGTTGTCCCATACTGAAGAGCAGAACTGATAAAGGAGACATGAGACTGGTTTCCCGCACCAACATTGTACGCCGCTCCATTGATTTCACCTGACGGAAGTATGTGACAAATGGACTTGGATAATTTGTTCGTCTGTAGTTCACACTCTCCGGAGTGATGGTTGTACGCTGACCTGACCTATGAACATAACTGCATTAAAACTCTTACACAGTAAAATTCCAGTCTGTAATGATTCTACAGTAGTACTTTTAACATTTAAGAATTCCAGAAACAGTGCTTCACAGCTTCTGCCATTAAGTGAAAAACACAAAGTTCTCAGGACTTCAGCAAAGAAACTTCAAAACCACATGCAAATGTTATTTCTTGTTCTATTTCACAACACCTGTCTACTGAACAGGTCACACTTCTACAGTCAATAATTTCGTGGACTGTGGTTTTGTCTTGCATACACTTACACATCGCTACACCCTCCCTCAAAATAATTGTTGTTCATCTCCTGTTATGATCCGGCTGAGAAACGTCCCATCTTTGTCAGCACTATTGATCAGGTCACCACAAATGCTCATGTGATCATAACGTTGGTCTTGCATCAGGACATGTGGAACACTGCTGGGTAAGACAAGACATGTTCAGGTTATCAGACAGAATTTTGTGGAAAGTACCATGGCTAAACCCTGCTGCTGTGATTTTATTTCACATTTGGGAGCGATTGGCAACTTCTTGGTGCTTGAATTCAGTTGTCACCATTCTTGGCTGACCAGTATGCTCATCATTTTACAAACTGCCTCTCCCCTGTGCAAAATGTTTGTGCCATTTAAATATGGCACTACAGTTCAAGGCTTCTTCGCCATATGCTTGCTTCATCATCTGAAATGTTTCGCTTGATGATTTGCCAAAGTTTTGGCAGAACTTGATGTCTGTCCATTGTTCAAACTGCGACATTCTCGATTTCCGCCACTCGCAGACAACTATCCTTCACAAAAGTGAAAGTGACTCTTTTTGAATACACTGCATGCATGCACCCAACTGCTTGCTTGGATGAGGGAAGAATGGACATGGCACCATCTCGTGGCTCCATGTATCCACTATAGTGCATAATAGCACCACTATGCAGCCAATCCATGAAATTATTGACTGTGCTACATGTAGTCCACACAAATTAACTGTATTTCTGTGGGATTCAAGATTTTCTTCAATGTAAAGATGTTTTAAGTTACATAAACGTCTCTAAGATGCTCCCTTCAAAGTAACTGTATTTTAAAACATATTTAAAACTCCTTCCAAGGTCTTTGTTTCCTGCAACATCTGGTGAGTTTTATACGAGGGTAGTTAGTTAGTTAGTTATTAGAGAGGGTGGGTTTCCCCATGCACTTAGACCAGTATTGGTCCATTGTGCTTCCCTCTATGATATTCTACCAGTCTCTCTACCCTACTGATATTGGTGCGTACCACCAGTCCCGACCGAGCCAGCAAGTTCGCCTCTACTGGCTTGGCGGTATCTATAATGCTTCCCCCCTCTATCGGAGACGTTAGAGACTACTGTTGGGTGGGAAATGTCCTGAATTTGGCTGTGACCTCCTTTGGAGATATGAGGTTCTTTTACGTGCCGTAAAGCTACGACACGGGACCCACGGCTTAAAGTCCCTCCCAGAGGACTTGTTCCCTGAATCTTTCCGCCCTAAAAAATTCCACGACCTCCGCCGGGTTTTTGAACCCGCGTACCATGAGTCATGAGGTGGGAATGTTACCTCTAGACTACGGAGACCGCTAGATTTATACGAGGGTAAGTCAATAAGTAAGTTACAAATGGATATAGAACACAAATAAGAGTACTGATTTGAAAAATGCTTTTATTTCTCAACATAATCTCCCTGTACATTGAGGCACTTGTCCCATCGTTTCACAAGCCCCTGAAAACCAGCAGCATAAAATTCTTTGGGCTGCAGTTGGAACCAGGTGGTAACTTCCCTTTCTACAGCTTCATCGTGGGGAAAATGTTCAGCCAAAAGATGATGTTTAAGAGGTTTGAACAAATGGAAATCACTTGGATCAAAGTCGGGGCTATACGGAGGATGCTCAAGGACTTCCCACTTGAAATTTCCCAGCGTCTCATTTGTCTTGTTGGCAGTACGGGGACGCGCGTTGTCATGCAAGAGCAACACGTCTTTGGTGAGGAGTCCTGGTCACTTCCGTTGAATGGCCTTATGAAGTTTCCTGAGGATGTTACAGTAGCAGTCAGCACTTACGGGTTGTCCTTGAGGCTGGAATATGGTGAGCAGTATGCCTTCGTGATCCCAGCCACTGCCTGGTTCCGACAGCAGCCCAAAGAATTTTATGCTGCTGGTTTTCAGGGGCTTGTGAAACTATGGGACAAGTGCCTCAGTGTACAGGAAGATTATGTTGAGAAATAAATGCATTTTTCAAATCAGTAGTCTTATTTAAGTTCTATATCCATTTGTAACTTACTTATTGATTTACCTACGTATATTAGCTTTCAGACTATGGCAGATGTGAATGGTACATGTTGGAATGAAAAGTTTATGCAAGATAATTACAGCCTAACATTATAAAATCTTACTCTGTTAATAACACGTTTGCATTCTTGTTGAGACGTCCATTCTTTACATCCCAGCTCCGCCTGCACAGTAATGTGCTTGTCCCAGATAAAAGAACTGCTTTCACCAGTTCATCATTGTCTGCATGTCTGTTGCAAGCAGAATCTAGATCCTTGTACTTTTCTGGATCATCAAGCATCTGGGACTGCCACAAGTGTTCTGAGAATATTTTACGTAACTCTGTAATGATAAAATTAGAAGATTATGAATGTATAAACATGACAAAATAAAATCAGAATGGCTGCTATAGGTTTACTGATAGAAGAAAAAAACCCTAGATTCTGAAAATCTGACAGCAGTAGCTCTTCTCTTTTTGTGAGTGGCATGAAACTGAGTATTTACATTACATTATATTACATTACATTCCATGGATCCAAAGTTGGTCAAAATGACTGTAGGATGTGGAATATGTCATATAAATACAAAACATATGTACAGACCCAATGGAGTTCTCACACATGAGAAACCAAGAATACACAGTGACTACACACAAGGCTATTTAATGATACATAAGTTATTTTCTAGACAATAGGTATTCATCAACAAAGTAGAATGAATGTGTATTTAAGTATCATTTCAGTGCTATTTTAAATCATGCCTTTCCATTCATAAGACCTTTGAGATCAGATGGCAGGTTATTAAAAATGCTGATCCTAGCATAATATGCGCTTTTCTGAAAGCATGAGAGGTTAGCAATTAGTTTATGAAGACAGTGTTTGTGTCTTGTGTTAACACTGTGTACATCCGCATTCGTCTGAAAATGTTCCTCGTTATTTGTAATGAAGTTTATTAATGAATATATATATAAAGGCAAAGTTAAGATCTGTAGTCTCTTAAATAGATCTCTACATAAATTACGGAATTTACCCGTCATGATTTTGAACTCGTGTTGTGAAATTCACTGTGCGTGACAGATTGTATGTCCTTATTAAAGAGTTTACTTGTTTTTTCTGTTTTCATTTTAATAGTGTATGTTCATGTCACCACAGATTATAAACTCAAGATTTTGGATTGTACAGATATTTTAAAGTTGCATCTAGTCTCCTTAGAAATTCATTAACCTCTCCTGAAGGGGCTCTGTACAGGCTTAATATAATTAGGTGAGATGTTTAAGTTACTAGCTGTACAGCACAGATTTCAAAGTCTTGCTCCTTCCAGTGATGAGAAATATCAACTTTACTGAAATGTAGATCCGTCTTAACAAAAATACACACTCCTCCCCTCTGCAGGCTCTTTCGCAAAAACTTGAGCCTAACAGGTAACCATTCATTGAGAGGAGCAGCAATTCATGTTCAACCATGTGATGTTCACTTAAACATAATACAAGAGGGTTTATTCATCACTTTTGCTTCTCAAGCCTCTGATATTCTGGTGAAAGATATTTATTGAGTTTAATGTTTCTGCATTTTGTCTGTGAATTTCCAAGACTGCTGGACTGCATTTAGTACATGACAGGCATCATGGTGCTTTTTAATTTAGTCTAAAAGAGGAGATGCCCCAGCATTTGTTATAACAGGAATACCGCTTATACCCGACCCACGACCACCAACAACCCGCTCAACAATAAGCTGCGTGAGCCTCTTCTTGCCTCGAGAGCTCAGGTGCAGGCCATGCGTTGTGTAATCTTCCCTCGTAATTGATGGTGTGTCAATGACACCAATGTGAGACATGTCACGACCCATCAGGGCCCGATCAAGCCTTAGAGTCATGCTCCTAACCCTCCCATTCATCCACAGCTTGCCGTGTCTCTCAAAGAGACTGACAAATCCCATACTGGTGTTTGATGTCCTCTCTGCAATGAAGTTGAGATCATTTTCAACTGAATAATTATAGTCTCTATCCAGGCTGTTTCCTGGCCCTCCCACTATAATAATATGATCTTGCTTGGTAGGGCCTTTACCAAGGTTCCCTGTATCCTCAACAACCTTCGCAAGAGCAGTATTTGGTTTGATGATGCTACATATGGAAAATTTAGTTCCCAGATTTTCTTGAAGCATGGGGCCAATTTCCCTACCATGACTACTTCCCAGTAATAAGAGCTTTCTTTTATTCTTCTCTGTCTTCATTGTGATAGATTTTAGTTCCTTGCCTTTATGCTTCAACAAAACTGGGGTTTGCTGACCCAATTCCAGTGCATCTGTTTCTAGTACACTGAATTTATTGTTCAGCTGAACTTGACTAGCATCATTTGCAGAGAACCTATGGAACCTGGACTTGGAATATTTTGGTTTTTCCCAATTTCCTAAATTATCGTGCTGCATGAAGTTACTGCTGACATTCCCTCCTTTCAGCTTACAAATTCCTCTCTAGCTGCCTTTAATTCTTTTTCCAGGTGCCTGATTCTCTCCTGTTGCTTCACATGTTTCTGGTACTTACATGGGATACAATACCATGGCTTTCTGCTGTGTGGTGTGCTGGGGCTAGTGCTTGCACAGTTTAAGTGGAAGCAGTAGCCACAGTCTGTACAAATTAGGCCATTAGTGACCCACATACGACAAGCTCCACATTTAACAGAAAGGCTATTTGTACCAGACATCATTATAGCTATGAATATTAATAATATATTCCTTATTTGCTAGATGCTATTAATGAAACTTCAAAACAACAATTAGAACAAATTCTTTTAGGGTGACTCACTGTACAGATTCAACTGTCAGGAGTTAAAATCTCAAATTCCTGCAGACTTCGCCTGTATATCACCAAATGAACACAGTAACAGATTATCTGACTAATAATTTTATTACTTATATTCAACACTTTGGGAAAAAGGAATGAAGAGAAAAAAAACTATTGTGATGCACTTCACTGTGAAATTGGTAGTACACTTACAATTCCAGTAATTAATAATCCAGGTTCCATAAACCTCAATTCACTCACACAAATAACAGACTAGAATACTATATTACAGGCATGTCCAACTTCAAACAGGTTGTGATCGACTTTTTAGTGTAAAACTGCCAGTGATCTACCACCCCCTCCTATCGTTGTACCTTGTGTTAAGCAAAAATATTGGTAAAAATAACATGACACATGATGTTTGTTGTAAAAGCAACATACATTGAAAGTACAGACTACTTTAATACGTATTTTCCCTTCAAAATCTGAATATAATCATATTATATTACAAGTGAATTTACATGCTTTTCACGTATAATTTCCATATAGGCCTATGAGATCGACTAAAAATCGTCCCATGATCAATGCATTGGACATGCCTGCTATATTAGAATGATACGGAATTTTTACAGAAACTCAGTTTTGGGGTCTGTAACATGTAGGCTAATATGGCAGACTATTACATGGCAAAGCAACAGAACCACTGGTATAACTGAATTCCCTTATTTCTAAACAAAATCCTTATTAAGTACAAAGAAATGAATATTTTTATTTATGATAGTAAGAGTATAATTTGTAGTGCATGTTTAAAATAAGAGTAAGTCAGTTTTTTGCCAGAGTGTGGTTTGGGCATGACCACGTAGAGCTACCAACCCACTGAAACATCTAGCTCAAGAGTACCTTGGCACTTCAGCTTGAAATGGGTCCTTCCACCAGATCCTGATGATGAAATGAGAAAGAAGTATACAGCTTTCTTGGAAAGTTAACAACATCCTGCCTCAGCCACCTGACCATCATGAGTTCCATATGAACAGCTTGGTCACCCAACCCATATCCTCACAATAAACTTTTGCACAGCCCCATACCACACTCAGTGGTATATGTTATGGTAAGGGTCACTCCATGTGAAGTCATCCAGAGAGGTAGCTCACCATTTTTAAAAAAATTCAAAATTTGTACACTTATTTCTACATATTTTCACATCTCAAAAATATTTTTAAAAAAATTGTAATCCGCTCGGTTCTCCCAGTACAGCCGTTTTTATAATGCGAAGAAACGCGTTTTCGCCTGAAATGGAGGTTTGCGTTATCTTCTGTATCTCGATAATTGTTGCAACTAGAGACTCCAATGAAAAACCAATTTGTTCCTCATGATATGGACAACAAATCATATCATTACAAGGTTTCACTCAACTCACTTCCTCTAGTCTAATTAAGCTCGAAACTTACCTATCGATTTTGGGAAAAACGCTATTTTTGACCTTCAGAAACCAATGAGAGGGGGAAAGTATCAGATCTGTGGTTTCTACCCTTTGTTTTCTCCTACATGAAGAATATAATCACATAGTTTTGAACACCGTACCTATTTTCCAAAATGTTCCAGGAGCTTCCAAACTTTACTCTGGGCCCAAAATAGGCCATTTTTAACGTCTCATATCTATGGTGGGGAAGCTCCGAAAAATTTTAAACTCATAGCAAATAATGCTCTATTCCAGAGTAACATGGAGTTAAAATTACAACTTTGATATTCAACTAATAGCGAAGTTGGGGCACTTTAAATTTTACAGATTTTTGCGGAAAATTGTTCATTTCTCATTCAAGACAAGATTCAAAGTTTCCACTGGGTAAATCAACAGGCTACACTTTACCCTTTTGTGTATTACTACAAGGCGGACACTATAACAAAATGCCCAAGCTTGTGTATAATCAGTGATCATGTAAAGCACGGCAGATCCACAGTTTATGTGTTCCAAAAATTTCTTATTGCCGATATAAAAGAAAATATGCCTTCAGTCAGGAAAGTTATTTATTTCAGTGATGGCACTGGAAGCCAATATAAAAACAAAAAGAATATTTCCAATTTATATCATCACTATGAAGACTTCGGACTCGAAGCAGAATGGAACTTCTTTGCCACCTCGCATGGGAAGAATGCCTGCAACGGTATTGGCACCACGAAGAGGCAAGCAGCAAAAGCCAGTCTTCAAAGAACTCATTTTAATCAAATCATGTGCCCGCTAGAACTGTAAATATTTTGCACAGAAAATATCCCAGGAATAGTTTACTTTTTTGTGCCAAAAGAGGAAGTTGCAAGAAATGAAATCATTCTAAAAAGCATGTTCCAAAAGTGCAAAACTGTGCTCCACACAGGAGAAAAACACCGGGTGGTCCATCTGGAGGAAAACAAGGTCAGGTGTTATAAAACATCCAAGTCCGATGATTTTGAAGACATCGTGATAGTGGACACTTACTGAACTATGTGTACTTTCAAACAAACTGGAAAATATTCATCGGAGTACACAAAGAACTAATACCATTGGATGCAGGTAAGCCAATTGTTGAGGTATTGGTCTTTTTTGGTAAAATTCAAAGTGCCCACAACTTCACTAGTAGTTGAATATAAAAGTCGTAATTTTAACTTCAAGTTACTCTAGAATAGTGTATTATTTGCTATGAATTTCAAAATTTTCGGAGCTTCTCCACTGGAGATATGAGATGTTAAAAATGGCCGATTTTGGGCCCAGAACAACGTTTGGAAGCTCCTGGAAAATTTTGGAAAATAGGTACGGTGTTCAAAATTATGTGATTATAGTCTTCATGTAGGAGAAAACAAAGGGTAGAAACCACAGATCTGATACTTTCCCCCTCCCATTGGTTTCTGAAGGTCAAAAATAGCGTTTTTTCCCAAAATCGATAGGTAAGTTTCAAGCATAATTACACCTAGAGGAAGTGAGTTGAGTAAAACCTTGTAATGATATGATTTGTTGTCCAAATTGTTTTTTCATTGGAGTCTCTAGCTTCAATAGTTATCGAGATACAGAAGATAACGCAAACCTCCATTTGAGCCAGAAACGTATTTTTTCGCATTATAAAAACGGCTGTACCGGGAGAACCGAGCGGATTACAATTTATTTAAAAATATTTTTGAGGTGTGAAAATATGTAGAAAGAAGTGTACAAATTTTGAATTTTTTTTAAAAATGGCGCACAACCTCTGTGGATGATTTCATATGGAATGACCCGTAATGTAATGTGATGTAATTTTATGCTATCACTATCAGAGGTACACAGCTAAAAAATCACCATCAGATATTTCATAAAATTCTACTTCTGGGAATGGTACCTTTCATTAAGGATGGACAGACAGAGAAAAAGACTCTACAACAGCTATAACAGCATTCATGTCACAATTGGGAAGAATATAGCTCTACAACTGACCACTGCAAAAACATGCTCAGTACATCGGACTATTGGGAAAAACATAAGGAAGCAAACTGAATGTGCACTGCTCTACAATGGTCTGTATCACAAATACATTGGGTAAATATTGTGAAGTTACTAATTACCCATGCTAGACAGAAACCCATCTGAAATGGCAAAACATTCTTTGAGAATCCATTATAAGCAGCATTTACTGTAATAACATGTATTTTAGTTCTTACTTGAGATGAGTTTCATGTTGACATTGTTCAGGCCTTTGCTGCGGCTGAAACTGAGTGCTTCTGTTGCACCCTCTTCAAGTAATGACTCCCATTCGCGATATAGCCATGCTAGAGCTAAATGGTCACTGGATGGATGGTATATCTTCTTGACTGTTCGTATTGCATCCTTCATGTTTAGGCCACCTTGAAACATTTCTGAATCGTTGGTCAATACTGTAGCAATAGTTACTATTGGACTTACACACCTAAGAAGAGAGACAGTAACAAGTAACTAATTAAATAACATAAAAAATCATATAATACATATACACGAACAAATAAAACTATTACAAAAAAATTACCAATGAAAACAAAGTCACAATAGTAGTAAAAGGTTCACAAAAGTAGTGAAGTGTCAATAAAATCCATACATTACATACACTTTGGGTTATTTGAAAGCATAAATTCCTCAACAGAGTAAAAGGAGTGTGTAATTAAGTATCTCTTTAGCGCTGCTTTAAATTGTGCCTGTTTATCTATAACAGCTGTAATATTTGATGGTAGACTGTTGAAGATTTTAATGCCAACATAATATGCACTCTTCTGGAAACATTGGAGGCTGGCAATTGGTCTATGAAACTGATTATTATTCCTTGTGTTGACAGTGTGAATAGTAGAATTAGTTGGAAAGAATTCTTGGTTTTTTGCAATGAAGATCAATAGGGAAAATATGTATTCACACGGTAGAGTTAGGATTTCTAGTCTCTTAAAAAGATTTTTACATGAGTCTCTTGGTTTAACACCAACCATTAATCTAACAATTTTCTTTTGTAAGATGAATATCTTTTTACTGTAAGATGAGTTGCCCCAAAAGATTATAC